CTTCACATCCAGATAAACCTTAGACTTGTGTAGCGTATTTTCCTCGATGTGCGTATTTTGTGAATTGATACGTTTCGTGGACTCCTCAAAGAACAGTTTCTGTAAGCACGGGCGACCTGCAATACTGGTGATCACAGAATTCGCTTGCTTTTTCAGTTCTTAACACACCAAAACTTCTCGCTATACAAAGAACGACACAATGGCCATTCCCCTCTCTGCATTGTTCCAAATCGGCCAAGAACTGCTTTCAGCACCTTTTCTGGCCACTTGCTTCGTGAGGTTTCGATTCCACAAACGACTGCTTCAAGCGTAATAATTCTGCTAGCACCGGATTTCGGTACACTTGCAGCATGTTCTTTTACACCCTTCACATAGCTCTTTTCAACTGCATCTGTTTTTGCATTGTTTTCATTTATGGTTTCAGATGTGGACTTTTTCCTTTTAGCCTTCAATTCATGTTCGTTGAACACTGCTGTTCAGAGCCAACCGCTCAGCACCTCGGAAAAGCGGAGAATTTTTATATAACATATTTTTTGTAACTTAATGCATATTAAGTTAGAAAAAAAACATACAGCACATAGAATTAATGACAGGACCTAAGAACCTCCAGAGTTATAAAAACCTGCTTAAAGGTGCGCAGTTCCTAAATAGAACTTTGCTGCCACTTTAATTTTGAACCAGTTGTGGCTATCCAAGAAATTTCTTGGTTAATAGATTGCATGCACTTAAACTTCAAGCTCTAGAAATTAATCTCTGAATTTTTGCACTCACTGCATGCGCAGTAATCGCTCTTCAATCACTTCAATGCATTAAAATGAAAAACAGCTATGGACCACATGTAAGAGAAAGTAATAGCAGTTTAACAATTAATATCCAAAGCCATTAGTGATCTGCCCTCTTGTATTCTTACGTTACACATGTAAGCCAGCAATAATTAAAGGAGAGAAGCGAAGTGACCGAACCATTTAAATAGAACTACCAAGTGAATTCGAGTGAATTCATGAGGCATTCAGTGACACAGCGTTGATTAGAACAACCACTGTTAAGCAGTGTATTTACGTTTTTTACCTGGTAAAGCCACTAACTGCAATGACAAACATACTTGCGTATTTTACGACAAATATGCATTTACAAAGTAACTTACGTCCTTGTCGACAGCAGACTAAGGTCAATTGGTTACTACCAACTACAACATTCCAAAAATGTCTGCCTATATTGTACCTTCACAACTACAGTAGACAACGTACTTGTGGAGCACTATTTGGAAATTATGTGGAGTTGAAAACATATTTATATTCTACATACTGAGATCACCAAATAAAAAAAAAGCAAGTCAAATGTAGATGATGGTAAGCATAACAGACTAGGTTCGCTAAAAAATTATTGAAGATGAATATTCCAGAAAAGCAACAAATATGATTCAAACTGATTACCAAATATAAATGAATGAAGAAATAAACAATGAATGGATAACCAAACAACGCATCAACGAAAAGGACAAAATATGCCTGCCTTATTAAACTCACGCAATAAGACTGCTACCATAAGAGTTCAGTTGAGTAATTTGGTGCTGAAAATAGCCTAATCTTTGAAAATATATCAGAACATGATGATGAAAGACTTAAGCAACCTTTACATCAAGAAGTCAATGAGCATCACACCGTATAAATTAAGAATATTTTACAAAATTATTAAATATTTTCCACAAGAGAAAAAGATAACCTTTATAAAACAAAATATTTTCTAGAGCAAACATACTCTTCATCAATCTCTGAAATATGCACCATGTCTTTAATAATTTTGAAAATGAGTTTGAAAACATCCAA